GTCGAAACGAGCGCTTCCAAGACGTTAACGTCATCAGACATGATCGATTTGGGGGTGGTTCTGTTATGGGGTGGGGAGGCATCACTGTTGCTGGAAGAACGGCTTTACATGTTGTTGCAGGGCGTGTTACAGGCCAGTACTACCGGGACAACATCTTGGCAGTCCATGTTGTGCCGTTCGCACGACGTCATGGCCGCCGTTTCATCTTCCAGGATGACAACGCAAGATGTCACAGGGCCAGGATCGTTACAGGTTACCTCCAACAACAGAACATCACCACATTACCTTGGCCAGCACTGAGTCCCGACCTCTCCCCCATCGAGCATGTCTGGGACATGCTTGGACAGAGTTTACGTCAACGTCAACAACGTCCTGCCAATGTCCAAGAACTTGCTGCTGCGTTGCAACAGGAATGGGACAATCTGGACCAAAATGACCTTAGACGTCTCATTAGGAGTATGCCACGTCGGATCAATGCTTGTTTGGCAAACAGAGGAGGATTTACCCGTTACTGACTTGGTTGTGATGCTGTGGTAACTTTGCTGTTTGACCCCGGGTATCATTTTACCCTTATAATGGTCAGTCTGTGCCTTACTTAGTCTAACGATCATTTGGAATAAATCGATGAATGTGAACTTCATTTCATTTTGTCATTTGTTTCTTCGTCAGTTTCATTAGGTGACTTAAATAACACTTAAAAATCAAATATCCCCTACTTTTTTTGAATAGTATATATTTAGTATCAAACATCTTTATTTAGTATCAACCATCTAAATCCACACATAACAGAACGCGCTTTTCTATCATAGACTTTTATCACTGGTTTCGTTTTTAGATAATGACGTAGATGAATGCCACAACAAGGCCGGATATTTTTGGAGAAGATGTGGATCCCATCCTCAATACCCAGTGAGAGCTTTCTACAGACCAACAGCCTCACACGTAACAGTTCCTAAACCGTCCCAAATATAAGATCTATGACCCTTTTAGTTTCTGGTGATATTGAAAGCAACCCTGACCCTCCCCACAACGTGTCTATCGTTCATCTGAATATAAGGAGTCTCCTCCACAAAGTTGATATTTTAGCAGCTGAACTCTTGAAAAATTATTCTCCTAACTGAATCATGGCTTGATAAATCAGTAGACACCAATACATTACTACTAAGTTCTTTCCACGCACCGATAAGAAATGTCAGGACATACGGACAGGGCGGGGGTATTGTGGCTTACATACGGGACACATTCTCTGTGAAAAGAAGACCTGACCTGGACGTCGACGATACAGAATGCATATGGTTACAATTAAATACTTCAAATAAAACTATTTTAATAGATACCTTTTACAGACCTCCAAGTTCTACTGCTGAACAAAACATCAAAATTTTTGATTCGATTGCTTAGTCAGCATGTGATAATGTCGATAACTGTTTTATTTTTGGCGATTTTAATATCGATTTTATGACACAATCATTTCTACACAATGCAATGATACTTTTCGAAATTACGGTAATAACTCACTTATAGATTTCATTTTAACTAACTGTTCAAACTATATAAAAGAATCGGGCTGTCTAGATAATTTTGTAGTGATCATTGTCCTGTGTACTGTCGACTTTTATTACAGAATCCAAAACTATCATGCTACAGACGAGTTATTTGGCATTATAACAACATTAACACCGAGGAACTGCGACCGGACGTTACTGACACGGACTGGGAAAGTTTAATTAACATATCGAATCAATTAATACAGCTTGAGTTAACTTCACAAGTGAGCTGACAAGGCTAGCGAAAAACACATTCCTAATAAAACAGTAACTATCAGACCCAAAGACCAACCATGGATGAATAATGCGATTCGAAAGTTGAGTAGAAAGAAAAATAAAATACATAAAAAAGCAGTTCAAAGAAATTTAGAATCAGATTGGCATAAATTCAGAACTATTAGAAATGAATACATAAACCTAATCAGAAATTGCAAAAAGGTATATTTTGACAAAATCGATAACAAAATCAATAATATAATTATAATAACTTTGTAAGTAAAAATTGGCGGGGCCTTGTCAACTCATTTATGAAAATAAAATCGTGCTGGCACTAGCAATGAATTACCGCCTCTTTCAGTAAAGACACTACATATCACACACCATCCGACAAATGTAACTGCCTTAACGATTTCTTTATTAGCCATCCTAGCATAGATAGCGACAATGCACAACTTCCTGCTCTAGAAAGAATACCCAACTCATTATATTTTCACAAGTACATTGTTTGTTTCTTTATGTAAATAAATGTATCTATATCTGACACAGAGAGGGGTTGAATATAAGCTATGCCTGTAACCCAATCCCTGTTCTGATACAAATCTGAATACAAATATAACTTATAAAAAAAACCCAAAAAACCTAAACAATTAACAACTGCTGGTTTTTGTCAAATATAAAAATAAACAGAGTTTTCCAATTAAATTTGCTGTGTTTTAAGTCTTTTAGTATTTCATCTACAAGAGTGATTCGTTAATCCATCATCAAAAGGGGGGGGGGGGGTGACCGAATGGTTAGCATGTGCGCGCTGTATCATGAGGCCTGTCATTGAGTTAACTGGCGTGGTTTCGAATCCCCGGTTGTACGTGACAAGGAGTAGGGTTGTCTGTCCAGCCCCGTGGGTTTTCTCCGGGTCCTCTGGTTTCCTCCCTCTGTTAAAGACCCCTACGCGCAAGCGAACAATTGAAATAAAATTAAAACCACATGTTAGTCCCGAAATGACATAGTCTGTGTCGAGTGGACGTTAAATCCCATCTCTCTCTCTCTCTCTCTCTCTCTCTCTCTCCATCTTCAAATAAACTCCGAGTGTCAACTTCAGCCATCCCATACATTAGGCCTATTTGACATTAACATGTTTACGAAATTGAATGAGTGACGTTTTACGAATGACGTCAGAATTGTTGAAAGAAATGATCGTATAAATAAATTAATATAACTACAGTTGAAAAAAAAAATGATCATTTAACATGTTTTGCTCCCGAATGCGACAACACTATCAAGCGTGTTTCATGTGCTAGCCTTGTAAAAATTAAAAAGAATGGAAAAAGCTCTCTATAGGCGATTTTCATTTTGTGATGCCTAATAGTGTACTTTCCCTAGCTAGACTAATAATGTTTCATTAGGAGCGTTCTTAGCCGGCCACATCCTCAGCCCTCCAAAAAATTCTGTAGCCCCACCAAATTTTATGTTTTTATGAGCTGGCTACGGGCACGGGCAACGTACCGGGGATGTGACACATAACCGGGGTTAAACATAGGGTTTTATTCCGCACCCCTTCATGCGTCAAATTCTAACTTATTCAAGAATTGACCAAACAGGTAATCAATGTCGTATAAGACAGTCCCGCCCTTAATTTATTTTTAGGTGAATATTAAAGATACATTATGGGAGATAAGATAAAGAGCTGGCAGTTCGCACTATAATAGTTAAAAACAAGATAATGTAAAGGCAATTTGCTGAAAATGTTAGTGAAATTGATTCACTGTGAACCGAGAGTTAAACGATTGAAATTTCGACCTAACCTTGATCATCATTACTAAAGTCTGTACGATAAAAAAAACTAGTCTCGATCATCCGTTTCATGATTAAATTATGAATGGAAGTTGAGCAGCAAATGGGATCATAATCCAGTAAATATCACAGGCTAGTCATGCCATCGAGAGTTAATTAAGGTCTGGATAAGTTAATTAATGTCTAATTAATAATTTAGATAATATTTCAGACCTACAGAAAGACCTGCAATTGACAGATTTAGCTCTTGCATAATGTAAGTTTAAAATATTTATCGTTTCATGTATATATAGATATGACTGTAAACAATATTTCATATCACTTTTATCTCTCAGTAACAAGTTGTTTTGTTAATAAAATCAGTTAACGACTACCTGTTATTATATTACTATCTTTCCCGTCTCCATTAACCCAGCCGGAGCAGAACAGTAGGACGTTCAACCCCATATCATTTGTTCATTTAATATGTTTTAGATTGATAGCCAGAGAAGATAAGATGGAATAAGATAAAACTTTATGATCCCAGGAGAGAGAGAGAGAGAGAGAGAGAGAGAGAGCATAGCCTACATTTTATTTATATGTGTGTTTGTATGAGAGACATAGAGGATATTTGTCGTTTTGTCGTGAATAACATATTTTATTTCATCGAGAAGCAAGAAAACTTATATTTTCACGAATGCGTAACATATGAAAATATAAACGTTTTCTTGCTTCTCGATGAAATAAAATATGTTATTCACGACAAAACGACAAATGTTCTATTTATTTTATGATTTTACAATCATTTTAGGTAAAAACAACATGGACTACTTTAGCCAGTGGAATAACTTTTTTATTTCATTGATAAAACGCGGTATTCCACTACTGATCATAAAATAAAATAATAATATCGTCATTTATAAAGCGTGTTAATACTGAAGAAAACAGTTTCTAAGGCGCTATTGGTTTTTATTTATATTCACTGATTATTTACAGATCAGGGTTTTGAAACAAGAATGATTTGAGTTGAGACGGTAATTGTTTCATTGGCTGTAGTAGTTTATTACATAGAATAGACATGTTCACAGCCTTAAACGTATTTAGCGCCTAATATCGATTATTTAATAGTTAATACTAAATAATAACAATTGATAAAAATCGACCACCCGTGAATCTTTATAAAAGCTTAATTTTCTATCTACATGCATTATACTGGAAGTTGTCAGAGTAAACATCATGATGTATGTTACGTCACATACATGCGTCGTCTGTATATTCCTGGTGTTGTTGACTTTGAAGACCTGTGGTGGCAAAATATTTCGAGTAGAAGCCGAGTCAGCTAAAGGTAACCATCCCAAACCTTACAGATCGAACGCTAGTAACGACCGAGATGTTTGGCTACATCGCGATGCGATGCTGTCGTTTAGTTTCTGTTCGATCAGAGAAACCAATGTCAATATAAATAATGTTATGTTCTCAAATGACGGAGGAGCTGATACGTGCTCAATAGAATTAAACGGGGTGGTGGTCGGAGAATTTGAATCTACGGCCGGAAGTGATACCGGTCTTCTGTGGAACGATTTCAAATCATCTGGAAATGTTGGATCGAGTATGACACTTGAATCTAGATGGAATACAATCACTTTGTTAGTAAAATCAGCTGATGTCTATGGTATCGAGATAGATCATATTGATGTTCATGTTGAAGATGATGAAGTCAACGAAGATATATTTACATGTATTCTACCATGTTTATCAGATCTACCCGTTGTAACAGCAGCTACATCAGGTCTGACTGAAGGATGGGTCGAACAAAGAAGCTACAGTACTCAATGTGCAGAAGAAGATAACGTAGACGTCGCCGTCTTTAATTCTGACGTCACTAAATACGAGATCACCGCTAGCCTTCCGCGTTATCGATCGTTTTTGAATCTCCGAGACGAAGACACAAGTAACTGTCCTTTCTTAACTCCCCTGTACTGGTTGTACGAAAATGTCATGATTTCTCCAACTACCAAATCCTTGACATCAAACACCGCAGAGTTATTCTTCAGTGACAAGACAGCCCCTGTACCGTACACAATAACTAAGATGGCTGTAACGTTTACCCTACAGGGACGTAATAAAGGTTACATTGATTCCGAGATTGGATCCACATTGTACATGACAATGAATTCACCAGATGCCCCATCAGATGTCGTCGTATCGTACAAACATAGAAACGGTGCAATCGTTGAATTCTCCCCAGTGACCTTTTCAGACAGTATGACCAGCAGTGTTTGGAATATTCCTGATTTCACCTGGAAGGAGGATTTAACTAATAATATTTTTGTGACTGTACAATCCACAGCCTTGGACCAACAGCTGGTGGAGCTAAGACTAGAGAGACGTTACATGGGACCAGACGTGGTTATACCGCTCTATTCCAGTAGCCAGGTCGTCTTGGAGGGTGTACAAGTAGACTTCTGGTGGCAGGCACCGGAAAGCATGGAGTTAGTTCGACCATCAACTGCAGACACATGGAACAACATCGCTTATTTTAGGATATACGTGAGTCTACCTTGGTCAGATGGTTATTCCCAAGTTTTTGTGCTGTACCAGGACGGTAACATGCGTCTACTGAACCCCACGTCACATGGCTTAGACTGGACTCCATTCGGCACCTCTGTGATACTTGGACAAACCAATGTCGATGATTTTCGACCAGCTGTGTCCATCACAAAGGTTGAGATCGAACCCAAAGACCTAACAATGAAAATAATATATTCCGATGGCGGCAGTACGGATGTGAAATTGGTAACGTCCATTGAGAAAACCAAGTTATACGTGTCGAATATTGACTTTAAGAAGAGAACGACCACACATCCATTTGCAACATTTCGGTCCATGTACGTACAGGCTGGCAACACAGACCCCGACTCCATTGTCAGTGATACGTCTACTACTAATCCAATCCTTGGAGGCGATTGGACGACCATCAATGGAACCAGTTTCCTTTTGTACCGTCAATGTGAATCGAAGCATTTAACTCCAGATATTCATCTACAAGTTACTGAAACAGAATAAAACGATTGCTTTAAGATACTTTCACTTAGAACTTTTCTGCGCTTCTTACAAAATCATTTGACGCTCTCCATTGTAATAAACGATTTCCTCTTTAATATACCTTCACCTAAAAATGTTATATTCTTCTTACGAAAGCAGTTGACTCTCTTCTTTGCGTTTGTTTCTAATTGCAATAAATGATTTCCTCTTAAAATATTTTTTATTTCCTTTACTTGGATTGCAGAATCGATATGGTACGATTGCTGATTTTCTTTCTGTTTCTGGTTGCAAACTACCTCATTGGAACCGTTTTCCAATTCCCCGTTGTCCCTCTGGAGCCACAGTGGCTCGGTGTGTAAGACGTTGGTTCACTAACCTGGAGGTCCCGTGTTCGATCCCTGCGTTGGCCGAAAAAGTTCATCGGGATTCTCTGGCGTAGTTCGTCCTTGTCAGTGGTGCAGGACGGAGGGCCTGTCAAGGAACAGCGTGTAGTCGTTCGGATAGTACATTAAAAACCCGTTTTTCTGCGTACACATTGGCGTGCACGTTAAAGATCCCTTGGCAGTTGGAATTCGATATAAAATTAAGCCGTAGCGCCGCTGTCCGGCCAAATTACCGTCATAGCACACTGTATGGCGTATGCTCGTCTTCATTAGCCCAGACGGAGAAGAACAGTAGGACTTTAAACTCCATTTCATTTCATTTCTGCTTTCCTTAGAACACTGATTGGTTAAACATGGGAACTGCTCAAACTCAAGGGGTATCGGGTGTTATAGAAAGACTGTGTATACCATGCCTCGTGTTCCACACCTGTCACCATTTATGGCAACAGCGTCCATTCTACAACACCCGCGCCCCCATTTAATCTTTCAGGGTCACCCATATAATAGAACCCGGGTAAATGGACCGCCCCCTTTGCTCCGTAAACTACCCCTTTTCTGACTGTCTTATAAATATCTAGCCCGCCTATAATCACATATACAATACCCAAATCGAACTCTGGACGCCCTTACCCTCCCATAACCACAAACACAACTTCTAAATTGTCCTTCGACCACCCTTTGAACTCCCGTGTAATAAATAACAAACCCTTTAACCCGTCTTAAATATTTACAATTTTCAATAATTTTATTATGACAATATTGATATCATTAAAATATTGAAAAATACATTGATAACACCAGAAAAAAAAACACTTCGAGTGTGGGGGAGTGGATGGCCGAATGATTAGTGCGGAAGCGTGGAACCATAAGGTCTGTCATTGAGACAACTGGCGTGGTTTCGATTCCCCGGTTGTACGTGACAAGGATTAGGGTCGTCTGTCCAACCTCGTGGGTTTTCTCTGGATCCTTCAGTTTCCTAGCACTGCTAAAGACCCCTACGCACAAAGCGAATTATTAGAATGAAATGTTAGTCTCGAAATGACTTAGTTTGTTTCGAGTGGACGTTAAACCTCTCTCTCTCTCTCTCTCTCTCTCTCTCTCTCTCGATTACATTTGATCATTCATCTAGAACGTAGAGTATCAGTATCTATACAAATATCAAATTAATTATTGCGTAATGTGGTTTTATCTTTGGATGTATTCTATTATATATACTCCCAATATCTATCATACAGATATATGTCCACAGATTTATGGTTTCAAATTACAGGATTTATTTATAGATACACAAGTATACGGTTTTATTGTATCATATGCAATTCCATATAAGCCGACACGTTTGTAAAATACAGCACTATATTCCTTATTAAAGGAAGCAAGTCTTTAACTCAATATCATCCACAGTCTTCGACATTGCAAACACGACTTATTGGTCAATTTAAATGTTGTTATCTTACTGTAAAAAGATGGGCTTCTGATATCCCATATTTAAGACAAAATGAACATTTCAAATTTGGCACACGATTTACTTGCCCGAATGCTTTTGAGCACCATTTGTAATGAAGCGACTCGATGAGCGAGGCTACCCCCCCCCCCCCCCACAACAGAATACTGCCATTCAAGTTAGACTCTTCGACTATTTCGCTGAACATAACTGATTAGAAATCACAGTAAAGACAGACACGATTGAATGTAAATCAGTTTATATACATTCATATTACGTTATTATATGCGTTGCGGCACATTTGTGTCCATTTAATTTCTAGGTGCCAAAGAATACATGTTTAGCTCCTTTAAGATCCGCAATTATTACAGCATGTAATGGGTATTTGTTATGGGTACTAACTGAACCGCTGCATGCGCTATTATTGTATTTGGACAAGTTCAGTTTTATAAATAAGATATCTTTAATAGAAGTGACTTAATACTTTAATGCTAATCTCAGGCATATTGATTGGGACTGAGTTAAATACTGTAATCCTAAAACCCATGTGATCTGTTTTACGAGCCCCTTTGTTCTGTAGATTAAGAGTTAATTCCCTTTGTTTATTAGCGGGCCAATGAAACCACCTGTCGTATTTAGAGATCTGTTGTTGTTATCTGAAGGATTGGAAATACTGGTGCTTTCAAAACTTTCTATTTAGTTTCCGTCTTACTAATTACATTTTAGTGTGTCTAATATACCGGAAGGGTTGGGTGGCCTAATGGTTAACGCGTGCGTGTTCCTTCATACGGTCTGTCCTCGAGGCAAATGGCATGGTTTCGATTCCCCGCTTGTGCCTAGTCGCCTGTCCAACCTCGTTTGTTTTCCGCGGTTTCTCCGATTTCCTCCGACTGCTAAATAGTAAGACCTTACGCACAAGCGAATGAATGAAACTAAATTGAACCACATGTTAGTCCCGAGTTATCTAGTTTGTGTCGAGTGGACCTTAAAACCCATCTCAATCTCTCCCCCGCCCCCTCTCTCTCTATCTCAGATGGGCATTGTAGTAGTAACGTTTTATGGTTACTATCACGATGGGCCGTTTTTTATATTGACCCTTTTCTCTTGTAATTCCATTTCCGTAAGAGTTCATGATCTTGAATTAAAGAAGCATTATGCAAGAGAACAGTCGTCATATTGCAGTTCTTTTTTCTGGAGAGGGGGGGGGGGGAAGGATGGCCGAATGGTAAGCTCGTACGCGTTGTATCATAAGGCCTCTCTTTGTGTCAACTGGCGTGATTTCGAATCCCCGGTTGTACGTGACATGGAGTATTGTCGCCTGTCCAACCTCGTGGGTTTTCTTCGTGCCCTCCGGTTCCCTCCCACTGCTAAAGACCCCTACGCGCAAGCGAATTATTGAAATAAAAGAAAATTAAACCATATATTAATCCCGAAATGACCTAGTTTGTGTCAAGTGGACGTTAAACCCATCTCTCTCTCTCTCTTTCTCTCTCTCTCTCTCTCTCTCTCTCTCTCTCTCTTATATAAATTATTATTTAGACAAGTCTATAATCTAGAACACCGGATTGCGCTGTATCATAAGGTCTGTCATTGAGATAACTAGCGTGCTTTCGATTCTTCGGTTGTACGTGACAAGGAGTAGTGTCGCCTGTCCAACCTCGTAGGTTTTCTCCGAGTCCTCCGGTTTGCTCCCACTGCCAAAGACGCAGACCCGCAAGGGAATTATTGAAATACATTTGTCCATATGTTAGTCCCGAAATGACCTAGTTTGTGTGGAGTGGACGTTAAACCCCATTTAGTCAATTGGCGTTGCTTCGATCACAGACTTGTACGTGACAAGGAGTGAGGTTATCTGCTTAACCTCGTGGGTTTTCTCCGGGTCTTCCGGATTCCTCCCACTGCTAAAGCCACTACGCACAATCAAATACTTGAAGTAAAATTGTACAATGTGTCAGTCCTGAAATGACTTAGCTTGTGTTGAGTGGTCGTTAAAACCCAAACATCTCTCACCGAATAGATTGGGACAATCCGTGCTGTTGAATTGTGGAGCAGTACCTTAAAAAATAAAACTTCTTTGTTCAAGAAAACTTTATTGAGATCGCAGAAACTGCGAGGAATTTTACAAAGACATGTTACAAAACTGTGTTTTTTTTTGTTTATAATAATTCTAGTTTGGAATATGTGATTCGGGGGGGGGGGGGGGAATTGGTTGATGTTGCACAGACTCCATTCTAATATCACCCACACACAAAAAGAATAAATTTAGTGTTCTGGAGTTAAAGGTCTTTAGATTTCTTGATTTTTTGCATGCTTCCGATGTACGATTCATTCAGTTATTCACATTTCTGAAAATATAAAGATACATGGGTGAATTATGTGAGTATACCCTCAACGGGTCAACAATTAAAGGACCATTGACAGCCAATCATGTAATTTAATGCGGACTTCCCAGAGGTAGTTCAAATGGCAGCCAATCCTTCAATTAATTTCCCACCCGAAAAACTATACGTTGTCCCCTGCCAGGCCCTCTCTCCTGCATCACCGACAATGGGGGACAAGGCCGGATAATCCCGATTAACTTTCTCGGCCAACACCGGGATCGAACACGGAGTCTCAAGGTCAGCGAACCAACGCCCCACTCACTGATTGAACACATTAAAAATAAACACAACAGTTCTATGAATAACAATCCCCGGTTGTACGTGACAAGGAGTAGGGTCGCCTGTCAAACCTCGTGGGTTTTCTCCGGGTCCTCCGGTTTCCTCCTACTGCTAAAGACCCCTACGCGCAAGCGAATTATTGAAATAAAATTAAACCATATGTTAGTCCCGAAATGACCCCCCTCTCTCTCTCTCTCTATGGATAACAATTACTGTAATTCTATTAAAGCTACGTTTCAACAAAGATTCTCTTGTCGTTAGAACTGTTGTGTTTATTTCAACATGGTTTAATCTTATTCAGCGAAATATTTACCTGGAACACAGCAACTACCACCGGCCTCACAGGCACCAAAGTCTGTTTCATCACTCTGACAGGTGTCACGACAACTACCCGTAAAACCATCACAGACTTAAAGGGAAGTTTGGAATAATTTAAGAAATGAAATGAAGTGAAATGGAGTTTAACATCCTACTGTTTTGCTCCGAACTGGGCTAATGAAGACGGGCATACGCCATACAGTGTGCTATGAGGGGAATTTTGCCCGGACAGCGGCACTTCGGCCTACTCTTATATCGAATTCCAACTGTCATGGGATCTTTTACGTGCACGCCAATGTGTACACGAGACCTCGGTTTTTCGTCTCATCCGAATGACTAGACAGCTGTCCTTGTCAGGCCCCCTGTCCTGCATCACTGAAAAGGGCAAACTAGGTCATTTCGGGACTAACATATGGATAAATTTATTTCAATAATTCCCTTGCGGGTCTGCGTCTTTGGCAGTGGGAGCAAACCGGAGGACTCGGAGAAAACCTACGAGGTTGGACAGGCGACACTACTCCTTGTCACGTACAACCGAAGAATCGAAAGCACGCTAGTTATCTCAATGACAGACCTTATGATACAGCGCAATCCGGTGTTCTAGAGTTGATTATAGACTTGTCTAAATAATAATTTGGGGGGTTGGATGGCTGAATGGTTAGCGTGCGCGCGCTGTATCATAAAGTCTGTCATTGAGTCGACTGGCGTGGTTTCGAATCCCCGGTTGTACGTGACAAGGAGTAGGGTCGCCTGTCCAACCTCGTGGGTTTTCTCCGGGTCCTCCGGTTTCCTCCCACTGCTAAAGACCGCTACGCGCAAGCGAATTATTGAAATAAAATTAAACCATATGTTAGTCCCGAAATGACCTAGTTTGTGTCGAGTGGACGTTAAACCCCATTTCTCTCTCTCTCTAAATAATAATTTATAAAAGAGAGAGAGAGAGAGAAAGAGAGAGAGAGAGAGATGGGTTTAACGTCCACTTGACACAAACTAGGTCATTTCGGGATTAATATATGGTTTAATTTTCTTTTATTTCAATTATTCGCTTGCGCGTAGGGGTCTTTAGCAGTGGGAGGGAACCGGAGGGCACGAAGAAAACCCACGAGGCTGGACAGGCGACAATACTCCATGTCACGTACAACCGGGGATTCGAAATCACGCCAGTTGACACAAAGAGAGGCCTTATGATACAACGCGTACGAGCTTACCATTCGGCCATCCTTCCCCCCCCCCCCTCTCCAGAAAAAAGAACTGCAATATGACGACTGTTCTCTTGCATAATGCTTCTTTAATTCAAGATCATGAACTCTTACGGAAATGGAATTACAAGAGAAAAGGGTCAATATAAAAAACGGCCCATCGTGATAGTAACCATAAAACATTACTACTACAATGCCCATCTGAGATAGAGAGAGAGGGGGCGGGGGAGAGATTGAGATGGGTTTTAAGGTCCACTCGACACAAACTAGATAACTCGGGACTAACATATGGTTCAATTTAATTTCATTCATTCGCTTGTGCGTAGGGTCTTACTATTTAGCAGTCGGAGGAAATCGGAGAAACCGCGGAAAACAAACGAGGTTGGACAGGCGACTAGGCACAAGCGGGGAATCGAAACCATGCCATTTGACTCGAGGACAGACCGTATGAAGGAACACGCACGCGTTAACCATTAGGCCACCCAACCCTTCCGGTATATTAGACACACTAAAAGGTAATTAGTAAGACGGAAACTAAATAGAAAGTTTTGAAAGCACCAGTATTTCCAATCCTTCAGATAACAACAACAGATCTCTAAATACGACAGGTGGTTTCATTGGCCCGCTAATAAACAAAGGGAATTAACTCTTAATCTACAGAACAAAGGGGCTCGTAAAACAGATCACATGGGTTTTAGGATCACAGTATTTAACTCAGTCCCAATCAATATGCCTGAGATTAGCATTAAAGTATTTAGTCACTTCTATTAAAGATATCTTATTTATAAAACTGAACTTGTCCAAATACAATAATAGCGCATGCAGCGGTTCAGTTAGTACCCATAACAAATACCCATTACATGCTGTAATAATTGCGGATCTTAAAGGAGCTAAACATGTATTCTTTGGCACCTAGAAATTAAATGGACACAAATGTGTCGCAACGCATATAATAACGTAATATGAATGTATATAAACTGATTTACATTCAATCGTTTCTATCTTTACTGTGATTTCTAATCAGTTATGTTCAGCGAAATACTCGAAGAGTCTAACTTGAATGGCAGTATTCTGTTGTGGGGGGGTGTTTAGCCTCGCTCATCGAGTCGCTTCATTACAAATGGTGCTCGAAAGCATTCGGGCAAGTAAATCGTGTTCCAAATTTGAAATGTTCATTTTGTCTTAAATATGGGATATCAGAAGCCCATCTTTTTACAGTAAGATAACAACATTTAAATTGACCAATAAGTCGTGTTTGCAATGTCGAAGACTGTGGATGATATTGAGTTAAAGACTTGCTTCCTTTAATAAGGAATATAGTGCTGTATTTTACAAACGTGTCGGCTTATATGGAATTGCATATGATACAATAAAACCGTATACTTGTGTATCTATAATTAAATCCTGTAATTTGAAACCATAAATCTGTGGACATATATCTGTATGATAGATATGGGGAGTATATATAATAGAATACATCCAAAGATAAAACCACATTACGCAATAATTAATTTGATATTTGTATAGATACTGATACTCTACGTTCTAGATCAATGATCAAATGTAATCGAGAGAGAGAGAGAGAGAGAGAGAGAGGTTTAACGTCCACTCGAAACAAACTAAGTCATTTTATTCTAATAATTCGCTTTGTGCGTAGGGGTCTTTAGCAGTGCTAGGAAACTGAAGGATCCAGAGAAAACCCACGAGGTTGGACAGACGACCCTAATCCTTGTCACGTACAACCGGGGAATCGAAACCACGCCAGTTGACTCAATGACAGACCTTATGGTTCCACGCTTAAGCACTAATCTTTCGGCCATCCACTCCCCCACACTCTCATGATTCGAAGTGGTTTTTTTCTGGTGTTATCAATGTATTTTTCAATATTTTAATGATATCAATATTGTCATAATACAATTATTGAAAATTGTAAATATTTAAGACGGGTTAAAGGGTTTGTTATTTATTACACGGGAGTTCAAAGGGTGGTCGAAGGACAATTTAGAAGTTGTGTTTGTGGTTATGGGAGGGTAAGGGCGTCCAGAGTTCGATTTGGGTATTGTATATGTGATTATAGGCGGGCTAGATATTTATAAGACAGTCAGAAAAAGGGTAGTTTACGGAGCAAAGGGGGCGGTCCATTTACCCGGGTTCTATTATATGGGTGACCCTGAAAGATTAAATGGGGGCGCGGGTGTTGTAGAATGGACGCTGTTGCCATAAATGGTGACAGGTGTGGAACACGAGGCATGGTATACACAGTCTTTCTATAACACCCGATACCCCTTGAGTTTGAGCAGTTCCCATGTTTAACCAATCAGTGTTCTAAGGAAAGCAGAAATGAAATGAAATGGGGTTAAAATCCTACTGTTCTTCTCCGTCTGGGCTAATGAAGACGAGCATACGCCATACAGTGTGCTATGACGGTAATTTTGCCCGGACAGCGGCGCTACGGCTTAATTTTATATCGAATTCTAACTGCCAAGGGATCTTTAACGTGCACGCCAATGTGTACGCAGAAAAACGGGTTTTTAATGTACTATCCGAACGACTACACGCTGTTCCTTGACAGGCCCTCGGTCCTGCACCACTGACAAGGACGAACTACGCCAGAGAATCCCGATGAACTTTTTCGGCCAACGCAGGGATCGAACACGGGACCTCCAGGTTAGTGAACCAACGTCTTACACACCGAGCCACTGTGGCTCCAGAGGGACAACGGGGAATTGGAAAACGGTTCCAATGAGGTAGTTTGCAACCAGAAACAGAAAGAAAATCAGCAATCGTACCATATCGATTCTGCAATCCAAGTAAAGGAAATAAAAAATATTTTAAGAGGAAATCATTTATTGCAATTAGAAACAAACGCAAAGAAGAGAGTCAACTGCTTTCGTAAGAAGAATATAACATTTTTAGGTAAAGGTATATTAAAGAGGAAATCGTTTATTACAATGGAGAGCGTCAAATGATTTTGTAAGAAGCGCAGAAAAGTTCTAAGTGAAAGTATCTTAAAGCAATCGTTTTATTCTGTTTCAGTAACTTGTAGATGAATATCTGGACTTTGAGTTAAATGCTTCGATTCACATCGACGGTACAAAAGGAAACTGGTTCCATTGATGGTCGTCCAATCGCCTCCAAGGATCGGATTAGTAGTAGACGTATCACTGACAATGGAGTCGGAGTCTGTGTTGCCAGCCTGTACGTACATGGACCGAAATGTTGCAAATGGATGTGTGGTCGTTCTCTTCTTAAAGTCAATATTCGACACGTATAACTTGGTTTTCTCAATGGACGTTACCAATTTCACATCCGTACTGCCGCCATCGGAATATATTATTTTCATTGTTAGGTCTTCGGGTTCGATCTCAACCTTTGTGATGGACACAACTGGTCGAAAATCATCGACATTGGTTTGTCCAAGTATCACAGAGGTGCCGAATGGAGTCGAGTCTAAGCCATGTGACGTGGGGTTCAGTAGACGCATGTTACCGTCCTGGTACAGCACAAAGACTTGGGAATAACCATCTGACCAAGGTAGACTCACGTATATCCTAAAATAAGCGATGTTGTTCCATGTGTCTGCAGTTGATGGTCGAACTAACTCCATGCTTTCGGTGCCTGCCACCAGAAGTCTACTTGTACACCCTCCAAGACGACCTGGCTACTGGAATAGAGCGGTATAACCACGTCTGGTCCCATGTAACGTCTCTCTAGTCTTAGCTCCACCAGCTGTTGGTCCAAGGCTGTGGATTGTACAGTCACAAAAATATTATTAGTTAAATCCTCCTTCCAGGTGAAATCAGGAATATTCCAATCTCGGAATCAATGTAACCTTTATTACGTCCCTGTAGGGTAAACGTTACAGCCATCTTAGTTATTGTGTACGGTACGGGGGCTGTCTTGTCACTGAAGAATAACTCTGCGGTGTTTGATGTCTGTAAGGTTTGGGATGGTTACCTTTAGCTGACTCGGCTTCTACTCGAAATATTTTGCCACCACAGGTCTTCAAAGTCAACAACACCAGGAATATACAGACGATGCATGTATGTGACGTAACATACATCATGATGTTTACTCTGACAACTTCCAGTATAATGCATGTAGATAGAAAATTAAGCTTTTATAAAGATTCACGGGTGGTCGATTTTTATCAATTGTTATTATTTAGTATTAACTATTAAATAATCGATATTAGGCGCTAAATACGTTTAAGGCTGTTAACATGTCTATTCTATGGAATAAACTACCACAGTCAATGAAACAATTACCGTCTGTGGGCCATTTTAAATCTCAACTCAAATCATTCTTGTTTCAAAACCCTGATCTGTAAATAATCAATGAATATAACAACCAATAGCGCCTTAGAAACTGTTTTCGTCAGTATTAGCACGCTTTATAAATGACAATATTATTATTATTATCTCATTCAAACACACATATAAATAAAATGTAGGCTATGCTCTCTCTCTCTCTCTCTCTCTCTCTTTCCTGGGATCATAAAGTTTTATCTTATTCCATCTTATCTTCTCTGGCTATCAATATAAAACATATTAAATGAACAAATGATATGGGGTTGAACGTCCTACTGTTCTGCTCCGACTGGGCTAATGGAGACGGGAAAGATAGTAATATAATAACAGGTAGTCATTAACTTGATTTAATTACATAACAACTTGTTACTCAGAGATAAAAGTGATATGAAATATTGTTTACAGTCATATCTATATATACATGAAACGATAAATATTTTAAATTTACATTATGCAAGAGCTAAATCTGTCAATTGCAGGTCTTTCTGTAGGTCTGAAATATTATCTAAATTATTAATTAGACATTAATTAAATTATCCAGACCGTAATTAACTCTCGATGGCATGACTAGCCTGTGATATTTACTGGATTATGATCCCATTTGCTGCTCAACTTCCATTCATAATTTAATCATGAAACGGATGATCGAGACTATGTTTTTTTTTATCGTACAGACTTTAGTAATGATGATCGAGGTTAGGTCGAAATTTCAATTGTTTAATTCTCGGTTCACAGTGGATCAATTTCACTAACATTTTCAGCAAATTGCCTTTACACTATCTGGTTTTTAACTATTATAGTGCGAACTGCCAGCTCTTTATCTTATCTCCCATAATGTATCTTTAATATTCACCTAAATATAAATTAAGGGCGGGACTGTCTTATACGACATTGAAAAAAAACGTATTATTACCTGTTTGTTCAATTCTTGAATAAGTTATAATTTGACGCATGAAGGGGTGCGGAATAAAACCCTATGTTTAACCCCGGTTATGTGTCACATCCCCGGTACGTTTCCCGTGCCCGTAGCCAGCTCATAAAAACATAAAATTTGGTGGGGCTACAGAATTTTTTGGAGGGGCTGCGGATGTGGACGGCTAAGAACGCTCCTAATGAAACATTATTAGTCTAGCTAGGGAAAGTACACCATAAGGCATCACAAAATGAAAATCGCCTATAGAGAGCTTTTTCCATTCTTTTTAATTTTTACAAGGCTAGCACATGAAACACGCTTGATAGTGTTGTCGCATTCGGGAGCAAAACATGTTAAATGATCATTTTTTTTTTCAACTGTAGTTATATTAATTTATTTATACGATCATTTCTTTCAACAATTCTGACGTCATTCGTAAAACGTCACTCATTCAATTTCGTAAACATGTTAATGTCAAATAGGCCTAATGTATGGGATGGCCGAAGTTGACACTCGGAGTTCTTTGAAGATGGAGAGAGAGAGAGAGAGAGAGAGAGAGAGAGAGAGAGAGAGAGATGGAATTTAACGTCCACTCGACACAGACTATGTCATTTCGGGACTAACATGTGGTTTTAATTTTATTTCAATTGTTCGCTTGCGCGTAGGGGTCTTTAACAGTGGGAGGAAACCAGAGGACCCGGAGAAAACCCACGGGGCTGGACAGACAACCCTACTCCTTGTCACGTACAACCGGGGATTCGAAACCACACCAGTTAACTCAATGACAGGCCTCATGATACAGCGCGCACATGCTAACCATTCGGTCACCCCCCCCCCTTTTGATGATGGATTAACGAATCACTCTTGTAGATGAAATACTAAAAGACTTAAAACACAGCAAATTTAATTGGAAAACTCTGTTTATTTTTAAAAGTCGACAGTACACAGGACAATGATCACTACAAAATTATCTAGACAGCCCGATTCTTTTATATAGTTTGAACAGTTAGTTAAAATTAAATCTATAAGTGAGTTATTACCGTAATTTCGAAAAGTATCATTGCATTGTGTAGAAATGATTGTGTCATAAAATCGATATTAAAATCGCCAAAAATAAAACAGTTATCGACATTATCACATGCTGACTTAGCAATCGAATCAAATATTTTGATGTTTTGTTCAGCAGTAGAACTTGGAGGTCTGTAAAAGGTATCTATTAAAATAGTTTTATTTGGAGTATTTAATTGTAACCATATGCATTCTGTATCGTCGACGTCCAGGTCAGGTCTTCTTTTCACAGAGAATGTGTCCCGTATGTAAGCCACATTACCCCCGCCCTGTCCGTATGTCCTGACATTTCTTATTGGTGCGTGGAAAGAACTTAGTAGTAATGTATTGGTGTCTACTGATTTATCAAGCCATGATTCAGTTAGGAGAATAATTTTTCAAGAGTTCAGCTGCTAAAATATCAACTTTGTGGAGGAGACTCCTTATATTCAGATGAACGATAGACACGTTGTGGGGAGGGTCAGGGTTGCTTTCAATATCACCAGAAACTAAAAGGGTCATAGATCTTATATTTGGGACGGTTTAGGAACTGTTACGTGTGAGGCTGTTGGTCTGTAGAAAGCTCTCACTGGGTATTGAGGATGGGATCCACATCTTCTCCAAAAATATCCGGCCCTGTTGTGGCATTCATCTACGTCATTATCTAAAAACGAAACCAGTGATAAAAGTCTATGATAGAAAAGCGCGTTCTGTTATGTGTGGATTTAGATGGTTGATACTAAATATAGATGTTTGATACTAAATATAGATGCTTGACACTAAATATAGATGTTTGATACTTCATGAAGTCTTCAAAGTGGTGATAGGGTGTTTAACGTCCACTCGACACCAACTAGGCCATTTTGAGTATGGGTCTTTGGCTGTTGGGAGAAACGGGACCACCCCGAGGTTGGAGGGCGACACTACTCCTTGTCAGGTATAAGCTGGGATTCGAAAGCACGCCACTTGACTCAATGACAGACTTTATGATCTATAGCACACTCGTTAATCCATTCGGCCACCACGCTTAGTAAAACATATAGAGAAAGAGAAATAGGTTTTAACGTCCACTCGACACAAACTAGGTCATTTCGCGACTAACATATGGTTCAATTTGATTTCAATAATTCGCTTGAGGGTAAGGGTTTTTAGCAGTGGGGGGGGGGGGACAGAGGGTCCGTAGAAAACCCACGGGGTTGGACAGGCGAATCCTTGTCACGTACAACCGGGGAATCGAAACCACGCCAGTTAACTCAATGACAGACGTGCTAATCATTCGGCCAGCCAACCCCCAGTAAAAGATGAAGTATATACGTACCTGTATCTAAGTAACTAGAACCCCAACTATCATAGAAATAATATTTAACAGTTTTATCAGCCGGGCATTTTGTAACCTTTATCCAGCATCCAGCACCACCAGTGCTTATAGCTCCTGTAATTAAAGATAAAAGGTATAGGATTTAACGCCCCGGCAATACTAACACGCTGGTCATTTTGAGATCAATATATTTTACATGGATACACGTCAATATGTTCACTTGTTGATCTAGGTTTTTCCTCCAATCCTCTGGGGCCACGGTGGCTAAGTGGGTAGGACGCTAGCTTGGTGGTCGGGTGTTCGATCCCAGCATTGGGCGAGAAAGTTCATCCAGATTTTCCAGCGTGGTTCCCCCTTGTCAGTGATGCAGGACAAGGAATGCTGTCTAGTCGTTCGGATGGAACGAAAAACCGAGGTCCCGTGTACACATAAGTGTGCACCTAAAAGATCCCTTGGCAGTTG